ACTTATTTTTATATATTAAAATAATAATAATAAATTGTATCTTTGCAGTGTCCCTTGGAAACTTCTTGACAGGGTTATGTTTTGCCTGGCCGTCTTTCGCCTTGTACGTTTTACAAAGTGATAAATCTCCTACTGGTTCGCCCATATCTGATTTTGAAGCCAATTTAGTTGGATCCTTGGTAATGCTGGGAAATTTGTTCGTGACGCCCTTCAGTGCCTGGATATCTGACATGATGGGGAAGAAGAGGAGTTGTATTTTAAGTGCTCTGGGATTTGCGGTAAGATATTTCGTTGGTCTAAAAACGCGCTTACTGTTAGCAATTGTATTCCGGGAACTAAACCAGGTCAACAGAACACTATAGGGCTCATTGAACATCAGCGCCACGGTCAATTATGGCTGTGGCTTATGCTGAATGAAGTTTTTTTGCGTGCGCCACAACCGCACAAATGACAGTACAAAATTTGTAGTCGCTATATTTTGTTTACAGACAAAAGTTTTGTCTTATTTTATGTGGTTTTTTATTTTGTTTATTAATTCATTTTATTTTATTTTGCTTGTCTGTGTTATAATTTCTTTTTGTATCTATGTGTTGCGGCTTTGCAATAAATGTCTATTCTATTCTATTCATAATTTCACCGCCACGGTTTTGACCTCTCACTGTATGATACTTTGAATTAAATTCTTTCATATATTTCCAGCTATCTTGGGCCATAATAGCAACAACCAGAAGTATCCATCTTATTCTGATTGGCAGAATTATCCTCGGCCTATCATCGGGGATCCAAGCAGTTATCTGCTTTCCTTTCGTCGCAGAAATCAGCCAAGACGCCATTAGAGGAACTTTGGGCTCCATACTCATTTTAACATACATTTTTGGCATGTTAATTGCGTACCTGATCGGATGGTTCTGTAGTTATCAAGTCGTAAATTACGTTAATTTGACTATTAGTGTCTTGTTTGTCGTGCTGTCGTGTTGTCTGAAAGAGACTCCCGCATTTTTAATTGCGAAAGGAAAAGATAAGGTAAAGAAAAGAACATTTATTTATTTCCATAAAAAAATAGTAGGTACGAATGGAGTTCCTTGTGGAAAAGTTCGTCTAGAAACATACTACGATCATGCCTATTTCTACCGCCAAGCATTAACGCTCACAATACTGCGTTCGGGTTTTGAAGGATATGTTTGCTAACGAAACTACAGACACTTGAGACATGAGAGTTTTTATTATTATTAAACAAACTGTCATAAAACAGGTAAATGATACAAAAACATCGATTAGAATAAATAGACCTGGAGTTGCACAATCATAAACAAGAATTTTGCAAGTAAGTTACGGTTCAACTACATTCAAATACAACAACATAATAAACTAGATAATAAAGTAACATCCCGAAAATTAGATTTAAAAATTAAAAAATTACTTCTCTTACTTTCTTCTTAAAACTATGTAAGGATTACCCAAAGATATCGATATTATTTAAGTGTTTATTACAAAAATCCAAAGAGCGCTTAAAGAAACCATTTTTGGTGTAGTTTGTTCTACTAAATTTACATCCGAAGGTAGCTTTAGAACGCAAGGAGGTGCAAGACTGAACTCTTAAGTTAATTTTTTGTAATAATTCTGGTGAGTTGATGTAGTTATTTAAAAGTTTATATAAAACACATGAATTAATATAATTTAATTTCTTCTATTGCCCATAGTTGGAAACTTTAAAGCATTACAAGAGGATTTAGTCTATATATTGAATTCTAGTGCGAAATCAAAGATTTTTGATAATTTTTTTGCTCCTCACAAAATATGAGTGCAAAGTTTTAAAAGTAATGGCTTTACAGAAAGGCTGCGAAATACGTAGAATAAAACCGAGTAAATCAAATGTATTAGAAATAACGCTGTCGACATGAACATTGAAGTGCAACTTAGAGTCGAAGATAACACCTAGGTCCCTTATTTGATTAAGGCGTTTGATAATGGTGCCATTTAAAATATAATTAAAAACTATGGGGTCATTTTAACGAGTGAAGGAAATCAAATGGCATTTGGCAGGATTGAGAAGTAGCCGATTGTTAACACAATATGTAGAGAATTGGTCGAGATCACCTTGTATTTCTAAACAGTCACTGTCTTTAGTATTAATTTTAAATATTTTAGTATCATCGGCATAGACTAAGTGTTGTGAATTTACAAAGACGCTGTCAAAATCATTAATATAAAGGGTGAAAAGAAGCGGACCGAGATGAGACCCTTGAGGCACACCGGAAGTTACATCCAGAAAGTCAGAAATACAGCCTCTATGTGACCACTGCCTGAGTACGCTTTTCAATATAAGATTTAAGCCATCGAAGGAGATCTCCATGCATACCGAGCTTCACAAGTTTATTCAGGAGGATACGTTTTCTATTCAAATTCAAATGCTTATTCGATTTTACGATTTAAAGCTCTATTGCAACGATTATGAGTAAGCATGCCACTTACTGACAGGCGCATGACATGACAGGCGTAATTAGATATCATAAAAGAAATTCGAAACTCTTTCTAAATTTCTTATCTGCCTCCTATTCATTCCTTTATATTGTAGTATAGTTGTACTTGCTAATATTGTATACTCAGACAGTCATGCCCTATTCTTATGAGTCGATTACTAATACGGTTCATTTTGGTCGGGTCGAGCGACAGGGACACTGGCTTTATTTCAGAATTATTTTTTTTACAAATGAAATTAAAACCATTTAAAAAATGTATGTCGTGTACTATACAGGGTGTAAATTTGAGACGGGGCAGCAAGGCCAGCCTCCTTAATCGTTGTAGTTACAGGAAAACGGTTCTAGAAGACTATCTATTAATTTTGAAGATATTTTGATTGGCATTCACAGATTTTGAAAAAATGGTACAGTCAGCAAGGTAAAAGGCAACTTACACGAAACTTTTTTTTGCCATTCGATCCAGTCTCTGGTAAGGATCAATAGTCTCTATGGGAACAACTGAGGTAAGAGTACTCGAAATGTCAGAAATCGCAAAAAACTTTTTACCATGCATTTTGTAGGGACATAAACAATCAGTTTTATTCTAGATAGTTAAGGAAATTAACAAATTGTATACGTATTATGTATTTCAAAATAAAAACAATAACGCCATTCGATCCGGTCTCTGGTAAGGATCCATATCCTTACCAGAGACCGGATCGAATGGCATAAAAAAAATTTGTACAAATTGCCTTTTATCTTGCTGACTGTGCCATTTTTTCAAAATCTGTGAATGCCAATCAAAATATCTTCAAAATTCATGGATAGTCTTCTCGAACCGTTTTCCTGTAACTACAACTATTAAGGTAGCTGGCCTTGCTGCCCCGTCTCAAATTTTCACCCTGTATACGTTCTATTTAATTCAGTTGATATAAAAAAAATCATTGATATATGTAATGTACGTATTGAATACAGCGGTTTTTTTTTTAAATTTCAAAGTAAGTTTGTGTTTTTTTTCTATTACGAAAATTTGTAGAAATCGTTTTTTCATACCGTATAATAATCAGTATATATCCTCAAATTATACTATATATTTCTTCCAAAGTGTGACACTTTTACTGTTACGCTGAATTAACTAAAGCCATTTGACGATATATCTGCCGTCCACTAACGAGGCTAAGTGTTAAATTTTAATGGTCAAATATCCGTTTTAAATAGAAAAAAAATCACAACATTATCTTTTAAAAACAGTTAAAATTATTTAACGTGTGCGACTTATCGGAACCTACACTAACGATGCATAGCTGAAATACCATTAAACAATTTCAATATTTTAAAACTGGGCTATGGTTTTTTATGATATCTCAAAAAAATACTTTGTCGCTTAGCCGGCGTTTTAGTTAGTGGACGGCAGATATGGACTCTTTAGGTGACAATCTCGATCATCTCAAACTTAAACTAGTTACCTCCATTTGAAAGAGTTCAACCAGGGAAGCATAACTGCCACGAAACCGTATTGTGAGCATTATTGCATTCTGGTTTATAAGGGTAATTGTGCTGGTGCGACTAGAGGTACTTAACGCATAGTGGCAGCGTCCCTGAAATATTTGCAATTTAAGGCTCTGGGTGACAGACAGGTTTACCATCAGCCCACGGCTTGTTCATCCCGTCATTTGGTACCTTAGAAAAAAATAAAGACTCCATGACGAATAAAAATGTAGGTACAGAAGACTCACATCATTTACAATAGCGGTTTATTCATGAGGATTATATTTATGAAGATTTTTATCATTTTCAGGATGCATTAAAATCTTTACAATTCTACCGGGGAGCATCAAAAGCTACCCCTAAGGTTTTAGAAGAAATGGCACTATTGAATCAGGAAAACAAATCTGAAGATAAGACCTTAGTTACTGAAAAATGTTCAGACACTGGAACTGAAAAGGAATTGTTAAACCAAACTGAAGTGAAGAGGTCTGGTAGTGAAATGAGTCCATGGAAAACGCTTTGTGAGTTTAAAGAGGAAATAATTACAGCGGGGAAGGGAATATAAACAGGGAAGTGTGCGTGTGTGTGTGTGTGCGCGCGCGTGTGCTTATGTATACATATTATTATAGCTATGATTGATTTTCCTCTAATTTCTTAGTTAACATAAACTTATAATGGGTCTTACTTCATTTGAAAGGGTATAAGTCTGCAAAATATGTATTGTAAGTGTACCCTATGCGTGATAGAGTTTAATTTTTTCCATAGTTAGTACGGTGGGTAGGCACATGTACGAATCGAGTATGTCGTGTCCGCCTTTTCAGAGTATTAAGTCCCAGGCTACCTATTAGTTCAGAGCAATCAATTTTTGAGTTTAAAATATTATACATAATTACACAACATATCTAAATTAATTCGTCGTTGTTCTAACGGTAGTACATTATTATTCTTACAACTGTTGTTGTAAGAAGAAGATGACTTAAAAGTTTTGAAATTAAGAAATTTCACAAACTTCTTTTGTATATTTTCTATTTCAATTATGTATTTTTTGTAGTTAGATGACCGAATAGTTGATGCATATTCCGCGCACGTATGAAAAGTACAAGTTTTTAATACATACAGAATCGCGAAATAAGGAGCACATTCTCATCAAGAAACCAGTGGATTTATTAGCTTTACTGGTTATAATGTCAATATGACGACTAAAATAAAATTGATGATCTAAATTAACACCTAGGACATGTTCCACTCTATTCAACTGAGCACCATTCATGGTGTATATATGCCTTATACGACGAGAGCTATGACTGAAAGATATTACTTGACATTTATTGAAATCATCTATATGATAAGTGACGATGTGACCGACGATGGTACGCGTTTGCCTAAGAAATGCCTATTCTTTAGGCAAACGCCTATTTTATAGCCTCAAATTGTACTTTTCGGGAAACACACATGCCGGTCGAGTATTCCATTGCTTTGTCGTACGCATTTGAAAGGATATATCAACAACATAAGGACGGAGTGTTCCAGTGTACTCTATAATAAAAAAACTGATTGGTTGTTAAGATTTCGTGCGGGGAATAAAGAAGGTGGATTGTCGAGCTGTTTTGAATAACAAAAAGGAATAAAACGAGTTTCCAGTACTAAATGTTTCCCATCGCTTTTCCCCTGATTTTCAATACAAATTCTTCATTGTTACTTATATACGATTATTTTGTCCGTATTTTGTGTTTATTTTTCGATAACTCATTTCAACGCAGCGTATTTAGTATTAGGTGCCGCCGTTCGCAGTAATTTCATTTGTATATTGGAACCTTTTATTTTCTTTTCTCTTCTTCTTCAGTCTTTCTTTTTATTTTATATTTGGAATCTTTATTATTACCGAAATATAAATAGAAAGGTTAAGAAGGAAGCCAAAGGAATGGTGCGACGGAATTGCACCATTTAATTCCACTTTCCCCTTTCTGTTATCGGGGGACTAGACGTAGGCTGATTCCACCCTTATTATATGGATATTTCAAAGATTCGCACGAGGCCTTACGCTTGCCTTATATGGCAAATAGCTATGAAGTGGAACGCCCTGCTTACAGACAATTTCCCTGAATGCTACAACTTAGACCTTTTCAAGGCGACCGTGAATAGGCATTCTTTAAAAGTCCATCGTCAACCTTATCGTCACTTTTCATTATATGAGATGGAGGTTTATAAAAAAAGAACCAAACCGTCTACCTTCAAAATGAGCCTACCAAATATTTTAATAACAAAAATATCTGCAAATTTCTTAGTCTCTTTTTGATAATAGTTAGATAACTTGTTTGTTCGAATCACAGTACATTAAAAACATTTACTTACAAATAAATGGACGACGGGTCTAATACAAAAACCACGAAAAAAATGTCCCAAGTCAACCTATTTAAACGTAGTGACATGTAAAGGAATATGAAAAAGCTAAAACGTTGAATTTAAATTGTAATGTCATCGCAGTACTGTCTAATTTTGCTTGCTTCGCTGTCAGTCGAACAAACGAAGACTAAAGCGTGAATGACGCTCTGTATACGATTTTAACGCCCTATAAGTTCGGACACTTTTTAGCGCGGACCCGACGTCCATATAATTGTAAGTCAATGATTAAAAAACAAGTTTATGACATAATTACAATGGTTATGATAAAGAAAAAGGCTAGTCTAGGTTTGCGAGTATGGTCTGGAGTGTTATAATGTGACGGGGTGTAGAGTGGAATGTACTGTGTCAGCATTATGCCGCAGTTCAGTCGAACACCGGCGCTGATGATTCTGCCAGGTCCTAAGGTGGAGTCCTTTTGGGTACTTTCAGGTTCATCAAAATCAGCACAACGGGCGCTGTTCGTTGTAACATTCCATACTATACTGCTAGTCTTTGGTGGAACAATCGCAGTGACAACTTATGCCAGTCAATTGTTTGAAAAAGCAGCGCCAAATATTGCCAACGAAATCTGTGCTGTAATACTGGCTGTGGCGTTCCTTGTGGGCAGTGTTTTCTCTTTAGTTATTTGCGATTTAGTTGGTAGGCGGGTAAGTACCTACTGCTTATCTTTTTTTTTATTAATAGTTTTGACTTGGATACAAGTCTTTAAAGTCATGTCTCCGTTCAATCATTGGTATCCTCAGTAAATATTTTCCTTTGTGGTTCAAATATGTTATGTTTTCATTTTCACTTAATTCACATTATCGACTATCATTTAAACAAAAACTTTGAATTCGTAATTAGTGGACTTTTCAGGATAAATTCTTTTGTAATTTGGTTTAAAATAAGGAATATTGTTCTAACTTTCTTTGTCACTTTCTTTCTTCGTATTTTCTTCTTAATATACTTAAAATAAAAATAATCTTTGTCAAAACTTAACTTGTAACTTCAAAAACCCGCAATTTTGTTTCTTATTCCGTCAATGCCGACACGTCATTCGGCGTGTAGGGTTGTCAATAGAGGTGAGTGGTAACGTAAAGTAACGATTAGAGATGGGCAGTGGGTTAAACCTTCTATATCTATGGTTAAACCCAATCAACCCGCCCGGAATTAAACTGGGTTTTTACCGAAGAGCAGGGTTTTACCTTATTTCTGCCCAAAATCGTGGGCACAAACGGCAAGTACACAGTTTGGTATAATTCCATAACTAATTACAAATTTTGATGTAAAAAATCGGTAATAATAGGATCATTGAATTTGAACAAAACTCGATTACAATACATATTGCTGTAATGGTCTGGGCCTGTGAATGTAAGGGCCTGGTGACCAAGCCCCAGCTCCTTCAAAAAAACTGTAACTGTATCTTAAATTACTTAGAACCTTCAGTACGTGTTTTTGTGGAGAAATAAACATAAGTATTATTATTATTATTATTATTAGCTGTAAATAGTTTTGCTCTCTATTTTCGGCGTTAATGGGTTTGAACGTTAAAACCCCGTATTAACACGCCCCGTAAAATCTACGCGATGCCTCATCTCTGGTTATGAAGAAAAAATCATACTGATCACCCGTCAACTAGTGACCTTTTACGAAGGAACGACATTCCAAAATCACATAGCTGCGCAGTTCACTTTTATTTACAAATTCTAATCATGAACCGAGAAATAATCAGTGCAAATACCGTGCAAATATTGTAAATACAAATAATATAATTGTATAAAGTTGATGCAAAGTAATAAACACGCCACATGGACTTAATAACGCGACAGTCCTAACCCTGTAAAACTGTGAAGGATTTTAGTTTAGTACAACTGATGGAACTTATAGTTGAACTTAGTGGAATAGATGGTAATGAGGGAGGGTAGTGACAAGACAAGCTCATTATTCGGTCGAGAGTCGTACAATCAACAACTCCCGAAGATGCCTCGGTATTAGATATTTTTGGTGCTGGTGTTTGTTGTAACTGTAGTTGCACTTATGCTACTTTATTTTATTCATTTTATGCGGAGTGAGAAAATTAACAAGCATCACTATTTTCCACGATTTAACCTTAACTGGGTTCGCGGAGTAGTAATTTACCTCCATTTTGCTCGTTGAGAGGTTTTAATCGAAAGAACTTGAGGCGCTAGCCATAGGGACTCCCATGAGATATACCTGAAGAAATGAATTCTAAATATCTTGTAAACGCGCGTTGCAAGTTCTCTATGCGTAGCGATATCTTTAAAGGTTAAATTTACATTACGAAGCGTCAATTACGCCTCGCTTCGCGAGATGGTGCACGCGGTCACTAGAATGCTCGAGCATTCCCTTGCCGTTTGTGCCCACAATTTTGGGCAAAAATAGATTAAGAGCGTTTTGGGTAAAAACCCGGCTTAACCCCGGGCGGGTTGATTCGGTTTAACCCACTGCCCATCTCTGATCGTGCCGTTACGTTACCATCCACCTCTAGTGACAATCCTACACTCCGGATGACGTGTCGGCATTGACGGAATAAGAAAAAAAATTGCGAGTTTTTGAAGTTACAAGTACGGTTTTTACAAAGGTTATTTTTATTTTAAGTATATTATGCAGAAAATACGAAGAAAGTGATAAAAAAATATAAAAGACTTTATCCTGAAAATTCCACTAATTACGAATTCAAAATTTTTGTTCAAAGTGACACTTATGTAAACTTTCTCAAACATATTTGCTTTACTTTCAAAAGACGAACATGGAAAGTTTGTGGACCATGCTACTTCTTCCCGGCCAAGGCCTGCAAAGTAAGAATGAAAATCCATAACTGTCCTCTTCTCTAAACTTTTAAATCTATCTAATACTAATAATGAACTACGTGAAAAGAAAAATTCATATAGCCAACTGACCAGTATTCGTGATTGTGATAATTAAAAATACCTACCGGTACTGCTTAACTACTTGTTTTCCAAAAAGAAAAGGTGGTAGAATAAAGTAGTTTTCTATTCTTTTCCGCTTTTTCGTCTTTTTTGTATTTTCGTTGATAAAATAGTTTTAATGAGAAGAGCGATAACGGAAATATAGTAATTGGTTGTGCTCCACCTAATTTAAAACAAGAGGTAATATTAACCATGGAAAACTGTTGCTAGTTATGAGCAAAGTAAGATACATGAAAAGCTATGAAACTTTCATGCACTGGAGAATAACGTGATCCACATCATCAGAAGTTCAGCAAACTACTAAAGATTATTAATATGTGCCTGCAAAAAATAACAACATATTCTTTTAGCAAATTGTCCTAACATGTCAAATGTTATTTATAATGTTTGTTACTTTTTTATCATACATCTTCCTCTCTTTGGTCTTTTAGTAGTTCCGCACATTGTTTGAGAAAAGCACTATACATGCCTCGGCGGGAACGGGGATTGCTGGACTCGTATTAATACAAAGTGTAACTCATACTCGTCCAGCAATCCCTTACTTCCCAGCCTCTGCAGTAATGTACTATTAAGTGAAAGTGAAAACATAAAATGCGCGAGCTTTCCAGCAACCGCGCCTTTATACTTTAGACTCCTCCTCGCGGATGCGCGAGAATTCCGCAGAAGACGCGCGAACGTGAATTTTGGTTCGTATCTAGTTTGTACGTTACACAATTTCATTACGCTATGTAGGTATTACGCCGCAATTACAAATTGATCCGAACCTAAACATGCCGATTGGAGATGATCATGATACCAATCACCCATGTATATGAACTCATTTCAGGTCCTAATGTTGACATCTACGATATTATCTGCTGTATTCCTTGTGCTTCTCGCGTCACTGCTCCGTTGGTCCTGGGCTCCTGAATGGACGATACCTGCAGCAGTGCTGGGTTACTGCTGTGTCTTCCAAATGGGGGCTGCAGCTGTGCCTTTCCTACAGATCTCTGAGTGTTTTGTTCACAAGGTGAATCAGAAATATGTTATTTCGTCGCCTTGCTTTCTAAAACTCTCATCTTATATAGAGTGTTTATTCAGGAGATGGTGAAACTGTCTATTTATTTTAAATTTCTTATCAAGGGTGTTAATTTGGATACATTACTTTAAGAATAGGCAAAAGCCAGTGTTTGAATATGAAGAAAGTATGATGTGAAATTAGCCATCAAAATTTGTATATACAATTAATTTCTGGAACTTCGGTAACTTTGCGCTATAAGATACGAGTTTGAGAAAGGCGACGATTTGCTAGTGTAGTACCTACTTATATTATGATGGGCAGATTTTTTAAATATTTCTGGACATAGGGCTCGACTACCATCTTTCAAAACGTCAATAATAATAACATAAGTTATTTATTCAGATAACTAAGATCCATTGGTTAGTATTACCTACAAACATCTTAGGAGCTATTGTTAGAAAGAGTTCTTCCAGGGAAGATTGCCACCTTGCCTATTTCTGCCGCCAAACAGTACCTAACGTAAGCATTAGTGCGTTCCAGTTTTGAAGGGTAAGGGTGCTGGTGAAATTACAGGCACATAAGACTTGTCAACTTATGTCCCAGGGTGGAGGGCGTAGTGGCAATGTTACTGTTGTTTAAAGCTCTGAGTGGCACTGCTACTGTTATGAACAGGCGTGTTACTTAACACCAGGCGCCACCACTTGTTCGTCCTGTCACTCAATACTATAAAAAAAGCAACACGAGTGCATCGCGAGATTTTGTGAATGTGTGCGTCCGTACACGACACGCGGCAGACGTACACACATAGAAGCATCACCGCTACGTTTGTATGGAGTTACCAGTGGTACGCAATGCTCAGAGCCAAAACATTTACCGATTTAAGCTGACCATATTTTTTTCCTTTCAGCTCAAGAACCTTGCTTCTACAATAGCAAACACCGCAATGTGTCTAGGCAACTTCATCGTTCTGGCTTTATTTCCATTTTCCGTAAATCTCCTAGGACTTGATGGAATATTCTTACTATTTGCTTTCATTTGTATTTTATTGACTCTTAGTACGTATTTCCTTATGAGAGAAACGAGAAGTAGGTCAGTTGACGAAATACAAAAAATGTTTGAGAATGGACTTTTATATCGAACGGAATAAAATAATTTGTTTTTAATTTTGTTTCATTTCTTGTTTTATTTAATAATGTAGATAACATTTCAATTTGCTTTTTCACTATTGTAACCACGGAAGAAAAAACAATGGAAGTGCCTAAGTCCCGGTTACTATCAGAACCAACATCGCCAAACTCATTATCCGTGCATCAACCAGATTGGTCGTAGTTTTAAATTTAAAAAGAAACAACAAATTCAGGATTGTTAATATAATTTAAACGTTACCCTGTTGGCATACCGTTGTAAGTTCAATACCATCAATACCTATTATTACAAGTTACGTTTTAATATCATATTGAACATTCAATCAATATGCTGCCATCCAGCGGCTCATTGCTGACGAATTGGAGCAATGATATTACACTTATTGGAGATTAATTTTGTTGTCCAAACAAGAAGCGACCATATTGCAACTTTCGTTTCTTGTAACAAAAAAATATTTCTATAAAAGAATATTTATTAAAATGAGACTTTCTGGTGATATGAAATACCATCGCGGGTAATGTTTTTGGTGCGGCTAGCATATTTGCACTCCAAAACAGCACAATAGGGCTATTTATATATTTTTCTAGGATTTTAGAGAATTTGCACGAAAGAACGACACAACCATACCATAGATAGCGCAAGTGGCGAACTGCGCTCAAATAGGTCTTTCGAGACCCATAGTTGGCACGCGTCAGACGCGAACTAACCACTTCTACTGTATTTATTGTTCTGTGATTGTAAGACACTGCATGCGTAGCACTATATTTTTCAGTAGGTATATAGAGACAAAACCGATCATTCATTAATATTTTACCATCATTACTATGATTCATATGTCAATTATCTATAAGACCAAGATGAGGCTAACTTCAGTCTTACAATTAACTATTTATTACTTATCAAATTATCATATTCTATTACTCTTTCAAAAAGTGATAATAGGGGGTTGGTTCTGAGCAACGCAACAGAGAAGGTATATTATGAATATACATTTTGACACAGGTATTTATTTATTGTAAATATATTTACACGGTATTACAGTTAGAAACTAATGCACCGTGAAAACTAAGATAACTATAAAAAATAATAAAATAAAATATAAAAAAAAGAAATTAAAAATAAAATAAAATTAACATACAAAAGATAAATATCTTATAATCACACACTCGATTTCCGCTAGGAATCCATCATTTCACAGAATCTCAAGCATTCACAACGTACAGCAGCCCATCGCCACGCAAGCAAATCACACTCCGGTGCTGATGCCAAGAGTTCGTTGAGCATTGTGAGGGCACGGAGCAGCGGCGAGTTCCTATGCGATACTGTACGCGCAAAAGGCACAACGAATTGTTCACGACGTCGCACTCTAAGAACTATTTTAGGGATGTCTCTGACAAATAGCCTTACTTTACTTGCCCCACGAGTTCAGAACAATGCGACTCGCCGCGTAAGACCTGACAAACAAGACGAGTAAGCTGTTGTTCCGCCTCACCTCAAGAGAATTATATTGAAAAATTCTCAGTAAATACTTCGTCGGATACAGAAACGGGTAGTAGGCATACATTTTTTTGTATAAAAACCTAAGGAAAGCGATTTTTGACCTTTTCTATTAATAATTGTAGGGTGACTACATTAATTAAGATAAATATAATTATATTATCGTT